GGGTATATACTAATGAAAATGATCCCAAAGGAAAGATCGTCTTGGGTTAGTGTCCCTTGGATGTTTCAATATATTGTTAATTTTTATCCGCCATTCGGTAATTATGCCAAGATGGGAATTAATTATTAGTGTCTTTATCTATTTATCCTTCTATTCGTGGAAATGGCAGTTAGAACAAATAATTACCATTCGATCGTAGTTCAAATAATTTTGTTTTGGGTTGGATATATTGATAAAATATAAATATATATTATTTATTTATATATATATATATCCGTATATGTAACCGATAGGAGGTCTTTGGAATTTGATTTTATGGTCTTTGGTAATTTAGTTTTACCTCTAATTATATAATATATATTTTTTATTATTTAATTTTTTATTTATCTTATTTATTAAGGTAGGTGGCCTTGGTATATACTAGTGAAAATGATCCCAAAGGAAAGATCGTTTTGGGTTAATATTTCTTGGATGTTTTAATATGATTAATTTTTATTTTTGTTTCGGTAGTTATGCCGAAATGGGGGTTAATAATTAGTTTCTCTATCCATTTATCCTTCTATTTATGGAAGTACCAAATAGGACAAATAATCACCATTCGATCGTAATTTAGATAATTTTTTTGTGGATTGGATATTTCGATAACATATTTTAAAAAAAATATTATTATGTAACGAATATTCGGATATGATGAATATGGGGTCCTCCAAGCCAAAAGATCGGCAAAAAAAAAAACATCCTAAATCTCAAAATTAAGGACCCCAAATCCTTTGCGGCAAAAATCATGGTAGAATATAATAGTAGGACTGTTTCCTAAGTCCACATGCCAATTTCTGTACCCTGAAATTATTAATTTTTTTTCCTAAATCCCAGGGTATAACCTCTGTATTGCCTAAAACTAGGTGCAGATTTTTGCGACCTTACTTAGGCAATATCTTACCAAGTACCTAGGATATCGGCAATTTTTTTTTGTTTTTCCTAACTTAGCGCCCTGACTTCGGCAAATTAGCTGCTGGACAATGTATTTAAAGGATATATGATGTAGACGTAGAATAATGGGGGAAATTTAGTATTAAAAAAAAATAATAATAATTAGGGATAACATTGGTGGCTTTATACCAAAGATATATGGGGGCCCCACCCGAGAAAAAACAAGAGCGTGGTTGATACCTTTTCCATTTTGATATAGCATATTTTTTTGGGTACCCTTTAGAAATAATAATGAACCCCAATTAATCCAAGGAATATAATAAAATAAAATAACCGTAACCGATATTGGGATGATATTAATTTAGCCAACCAAGTGGTTGCCTAAAAATAAACATAATAATATACATAGAATTTTCTATGAACATGGTTTTAAAAAAAAATATATATTAAATAATCAATGGTAAGATGATACCAATTTAATTAATTAATTGGTTATCTTATAGGAAAATAATATGCTACCTATATAATATAATTTAATTCTATTAATATATATTAAATATTTGGAAAAACCCAAAAATCCATTTACAAAGAACCCAGATCAATTACAAACCATAGATATAATATATTTTATATTTTATCGAAGTACCCAACCCAAAAAAAAAAAACTATTTGAACTACGATCGAATGGTAATCGTTTATTCTGACTGGTATTTCTATGAATAAAAGGGTAAATGGATAGAAACAATAATTATTAATCCCCGTCTTGGTATAATTACCGAATGGCGGATAAAAATTAACAATATATTGAAACATCCAAGGAACACTAACCCAAGACGATCTTTCCTTTGGGATCATTTTCACCAATATATACCAAGACCACCTACCTTAATAGATAAGATAAAATAAATAAAGAAATAAATAATAAAAAACATATATCACACAATCAGAGGTAGAATTAAATCACCAAGGACCCTAGAATCAAATTCCAAAGACCCCCTATCGGGTGTATATATTGATAAATATATATATATATAGAAAATATATTTAATATTTTATCAAATTACCCAACCCCCAAAAAATAAACATTTTTGAACTACGATCGAATGGTAATCACTTGTTCTGACTGGCACTTCCACGAATAAAAGGATAAATGGATGGAAACAATAATTATCAATTCCCATCTTGACATGATTACCGAATGGCGGAAAAAAATTAATAATATATTGAAATATCCAAGGGACACTAACCCAAGACGATCTTTCCTTTGGGATCATTTTCACTACTATATACCAAGACCACCTACCTTGATAAATAAAATAGATAAAGAAATATATAATCGAAAACATATATCCCACAATCAGAGGAAAAACTAAATCACCAAGGACCCTAGAATCCATTTCCAAAGACCCCCTATCGGCTACAAAACCTTATTATTAGGAAAAAATATATATAAATATATATATAATTCGATATTAAGATATAATTATAATGTGGATAAAATAATAATAATATTATTTAATTAAAAAAATATATTATTATTATATTTTATATTTATATTTAATTAATAATAATTAGTTTATTAAATAAAATATATTATTAATAAATAATCCGATTTAAACAAAGAAAATCTATTTTATTAAAAATTAAATTAATTTGAAAAGGAAAATAAAT